CAGGCAAGGTGGGAATTAGCATAATAAAAGTGTACAGGATAGGAAGGTAATGAAGAAGGTCCTGAAGCAGCTGAATATGAAACAGGTCAGGTGTAACTAGAAAGGGTCTAATCTTTGGGTCAGGGAGAAGGATTGGTTGATAAGCCTTGATAGGAATGAGGAACATGTTTGGGAGAAGTTTGGGATGGTTGGAGGTATACTTGGTGAAAGAGAAAAAGCAGAAATTGAGGTTTTGTGAAGGACCGAAAATTTCAGATTTGTAGATAAAGCAACAGTTTTATGCAAAGAGGTCTAAGGTAAGGATTCTTTTTGGGTTGTTGATGGATTGGAGTTAAAGACTACAAGGGCAGTCAGTAACAAATGTCATTCTTGGCGGGGGGAGGGCGATGTGTAGAAAATAGCATGAGTTTAGTGCCGAAGTTGTTTAGGAGGGTGAAAGTGGAGTTCTTCACGAGCTTAGGATGTTGGAATTAATGCTACTTAATAGTAGGAGTTTTATTCTTGCTTCTGAATTCCAACGTTTAGGAAAGATTGTCTTGCCAGTGTCAACAACCATAATGATTATTCCTAAAGAAGTTCTACGATAGAATTGATTCAGGTAGTGCTGGAATTGAAAATTTTGTGACTGATTTTTTTTTAAATTTTTTTTATGAACATGTAATAGGAATTTGTTATTCAAGAGGCTTTAGAAGAACATGACAAAAACGGTGATGGATTTGTTAGTTTGGAAGAATTTCTTGGTGATTACAGGCGGGATCCAAGTAAGTAGCCTGGGGGAGTGTGGAAGGAGGAAAAAAAAGGAATTAAAGAGGAAAGAAATTGAAAGACAGCCTTGCTTGTTAAGTGCTCTGTTTGACAGAGAAAAATGGAACAAGAGGAATTGTGCCTGATTTCTACTTGTTCTGCCAAGTTAACTGTAGTATAAGTGAAACGAAGGAATTTATAGCTTATCTGAGAATGCTTTTAGTTCTGTATCTAGATTCAAACTTTTTTTCCTTTTCAGACAAATGTGATTATTATTCAAATGAGGAAGGAGGTAAAGATTGGTATTTGTTAAAAAAAATCCAGTATCTTTACATCTTAAAAGAGAAGAAAATATAAAATACTAAAAACACTGGTGTAGAGTGTAGAAGGTGACTGAGTGTTTGAAATTAGAGGAGTTTGTGTACGCAGCTTCTTTATCAGTAGCTATTTTTTTCAGAATTGTTGCTTAAAAGCATCAAACGATGCCATTTTAAAATTGGTCACCAGTTTTACTTAATGTGAATGTCTTTTAAAATTATACATGGCATTACTTTATAAGAACATGTTGGAAACTTTATATAGACACATGGTATACATAAGAACACATTATCCAACTCAAATTTGGCAAAACTGGGTATCTGGACAAGTAGCAACAGTTAGTAAGATTACTAGTTGGTGACAATATGCAGCTGTTTCAAAACTGAGTTGTTTAGCATGTGTCACTTTTAAAAATTACTGTTTATTTTGTGCTTATTTCAGGACTTTTCAATTAAGTAGTTCTGTTTCATTAGGCTTCCTTTATAAAGTAAACTTTCAATGAACTTCTTTATTCTCGGGATATACCAAACTTCTTATTGGATACATGTGATGTTCTTATATGTGTATATTTGTGTTTTCTTTGTATTAAGCTGCAACTGAAGATCCAGAATGGATACTTGTTGAGAAAGATAGATTCGTGAATGATTATGACAAAGATAACGATGGTAGGCTTGATCCCCAAGAGCTGTTATCTTGGGTAGTGCCCAATAATGAGGGCATTGCACAAGAGGAGGTAAGAGTAACAGAATGGCTTGCCTTTTTTGTTTATTTTCATTTTGGTGCTATGGATAGGAAAGGAACTTAAAAAAAATGTTAAACTAAAGTAAGAAATAATGGAATTATTTCAGGTTGATGCATTTCTCTGTTTTGATTTAAATCTCTGAATTGTTTTAGATTGTCGGGGAGACAAGGAGGTTAAGGCTGTCATATAGTAATTTGATAGTGCAGTGAATAGAATAAAAGAAGTTTGCATTTATCTATCATGTCTTCTAAGAGACTTAAAGTGGATTGTATTAATTTTGCTTATCCTTGTGATAGCCTGGATTGGATTTGAGTGGTTAGGAGGCAGAACCCAGCAGAAATTAAGACAGGAGATAATGAGAGAAGCAGTAGACAGACCTAGTTACAATGTGTAAGATTTTGAGATACTTAGACAATAATAAGTACTAGACATGCCTGAATGGTTTTGACAAATCAAAACCTAAACATTAAAATGTGAACATCTTGTGGGGCGAGGCCAAGATGGCGGAGTAGTCAGATGCCTCTGATGGACCTTCTTACAACAAAGACCTGAAAAAACAAGTGATTTGATTATATATGGCAATCTGGGAGCCCTGAACATCAAAGGCAGAGGTGAGGAACTGGACTGAGTGGCAGGGGGAGGGAGAGACAGTTTGGAAGCAGTGAGGAGGTGCCAGACCTGACCCAGCGAGAGCCTGAGCCCTTCAGGCCTGAGCAGCTTGTGGATGAGCGTTGAGGCAGGCAAGCAGCCGTGCTCGGGAGGTGCGTTTTCCACACCGGGGAGACTCAGTGCCAGAGAGTCTACACGGCTACCCAGAACCAGTGAGAAGCATCCCTTATCTGTGAAAGATAAGTAATTGTGTACAGCTTTCCACACAGATCAAAAACACCCCACTTAGGGAAAACCTCTCTCCCGATTACCTCCCCACTCCCTGCTCTGCACTGCGTTCTGGACCGACTTCAGCAATTGCTGAGTCCCCTGGGCCGGAAGTAGGATCTGTCACATGCCTGCAGCCATTCTCCCTGTCTTGGAGAGTGAACAAATTAACAAACAGGAAAATAATAAACTGCTGGCTCCCCTAAGCCAGGAACCCAGGGTAGGCACAGCTCCTTTGCCTAGGCACAGGCATAAGGGATCTGTGGACTTTGAGTGCCTTTCCCCCTGCATAGACTTGTGTGGGCCCATCTCGATAGCATAGGCCCTCATTACCACAGTATAACAAGGTATATACTGGATGTCTAACTTTAACTCTTTCAGCTGTGAAGTGGTAGATTCTTGACATTTGACACTGCTCTGCCCATTAAGCAGGGTCTTCACCTACCCACATCAGGGGCCTGAGGACTGGTAGTTCCACCCAC